GCACCGGAGACTCACTTTTACCAGGTACTGTGTTCTTTTCAAATCATGTCGCGCAAACTCCAATTTCAAATTAGGCAGGGCATAGATCAGGGGTGTCAAACCAAACTCATTTTTGTCGCGGGCCACATTTTAGTTACCGTTTCCCTTGGAGGGCTGTTATGACTGAAACCATATGATAACGATTTATTCAACTTTCTGTAATGAGGGGTTTGATCACAAGAAAATGCTTACAATATGTCTCTAATTTATTCAATATGAGAATTTTAAATTATGGTAGAGATTTTAGCAAGCATCATGGAAGTGGACCTGTTTGATTTGCTTTCGCGGGCCACATAAAATGATGTGGAGGGCCAGATCTGGCCCCCGGGCCTTGAGTTTGACACCTGTGGCATAGATTGCGAAGGCTACGGGTCCTAATCAAAAAGCGGTGGTGCGTTGGTACATTTGTGCCTTGACAGGGAACTACGGTCTTTGGGATCAGCACGCCGCCATTGCCTGGGTCCACCGAAACATCCGCGCATTCGGAGGTGACCCGGATAACATCACGATCTTTGGAGAGTCTGCGGGTGGCGCTAGTGTCAACTTTCAGGTATAAGATAGCTGGGTCGTCTGACTTTCAATAAATAGTCATCGGGTCAATTCACGAACTCACTGTCAGACGTCCAATGAAAATGGCCTGCTCGGTGATCTTACGGCGGCATCGGTATGGCATTTCCACGGCCGCTTCAGGTTACACAGACGTATATTCCGTCACAGATTCTCAGTCCCTACAACAAGGGGCTCATCAGGAGAGCCATCTCTGAGAGTGGTGTCGCACTTTGTCCCTGGTCCATCATAAAGGACCCCCGTGCTTTCGCTGAAGAGGTACAAAATCGCTTTTGCTCCAAAATTAAACTTCTCGACTCTCAATTGATGCGAAATTGTAACTCGGGATTTTCCCCTCTCGGTTCAGGTTGCTCGGAAGGTCAACTGCCCCACCGATCATAAGATGGCGGCCTGTTTGAAGACTTCTGATCCTGTGCGCCTCACAGAAGCTGGCAGTTTCAGCCTCTTCAGCTCACCGAGCGGTAAGATGAAATGGATTTCTTTCCCCGCGTGCCTGCCAACATGGAATGCAATGGTGCTGCTTTTGATTATTTGGGAGTTTTGCTTCATATTCCCACTGGGGGACACTTTTCAAAAACGACATGAAACCTCACACGCTCTCCCAGAGTGTGCATTCATATTCTTGAATGACTTTTCTGTGGACGTCAAAGAAGCGATGTGACTCACAGAGAGTTTTCTCCCAACTGCAGCCCCTCTCGTCGAGAACATGATTCTCTCGGCTGTCATCGATGGCGATTTCCTGCCACACGAACCTTGCAACTTGTTCCACAACGCCGCTGATGTCGACTACATTGCTGGGATCAATGACATGGACGGACATATCCTGGCTTCCGGGGATATCCCTTCGATCAACTTGCCATTTTGGGAAACCTCCATGTCAGCATTTGTTCCACATATGACCCAAGTCTTATTATTTTTGAAACATTTTAATCCGACTTTTCCTCTCATGTTCTCCTCAACTCAGCGATGACATGAAGACGCTGTTGCAATCGTTCACGAAACCCAAGGGCGAGCCTGGTATGAAAGAGGCATTCTCAGTCTACACTTCAAAATGGGCACCCGATCCAAGCAAGGAGGAAGTGAAGAGAACGATTGTGGATATCGAGACGGATTACGTCTTTTTGGTTCCGACGCAGGTTGCCCTTGAACTTCATGCCGCTAGTGCCAGGTGAGAGCATCCATTTACGATCCATCTGTACCGTACATGTTAAGGGTTGTTCTATTTTCACGTTAGCCATGTATTTTGTTCATGCTGTAATCGGTTACAATCGAGGCTTGGTATGAACACGCTGCCCCCTACCAAATGGGGGGGGTGAGTTTGATCTTTCGCTCGTGACACTGCAGCTTGAACCAGTGGCGTAACTTTGGTGCAAAACGTGTCAAAGCCTGATTACGATGCTAATTGACATTATTGTACAAGCTTTGTATGCATCTTAGACACGTTCTCTTCTTGTCTCATTCAAGATCTGGTCGCACCTACTCCTATCGCTTCTCCGAGCCCAGCCGTTTGGGCGGCAGGGTTAAGCCGTATCCCACCTGGATGGGAGCTGACCACACCGAGGAGCTGCAGTACCTCTTCGGAATGCCTTACAGAGAGTTTTTGTTGTACTGGCCTCACGACCGCAAGCTTTCTGACTACATGATTGCTTATTGGACCAACTTTGCCAAAACCGGGTATAATTTTGCAAAAAAACAAAACAAACACATACCTGTAACATAAAGTCAACAGCAAAACCTCTCTCTCTCTCTCTCTCTCTCTCTCTCTCTCTCTCTCTCTCTGTCATTAGTTGATGCAGTTTTTTTTTCACTTCTTCACAGAGATCCCAACAAAGGAAACTCTGAGGTGCCCACCACCTGGCCGGAATTCACCAAGGGACGCCGTTACCTTGACATCAATCATAAGATGAATGCGAGCTCTGTGGGACGGAAGATGAGGAAGCAGTATGTGAATTTTTGGACCGTCACCTTGCCCAATTTGCCAGATGTCTGAGCATTTACAGCAGCATCAAATTCAATTTGCGCGCATGGAGTTTGCATGCACAAAATCTGTCAAAATAGTATTGGGTAATTGTCGTTGCTTGCTATTTGGTGTACAAATAATATGAATGCAGGTCGTGTTGTGGAACGCTTCTGTTAACTCTGGAACCCAATTTTGGGCACATGGCTGTACTGCCGCACACATCAAATAAAGTCAGACAAAGTCAGGAACCGCGTGTTAATTAGATGACTCCAAAAACAAGATGCTAAAGGAGATGTTCAGTTTATTTATACGCACGGACTTTGCCAATGACACGGAGCACAATCTGTCGTAATTGCTTGCATTTTTGGGGAATCTTTCAAATGCAAAGATGGGGGGGGGGGGTTGGAGAAAAACAGACGTGGTAAGAGTGAAATCATTCTCCAACATCAGGACAGCTGCTGGGAGAAAGGCAAAGCGGGCGACAAATTTGTGACAGATGGTATGACCAAAGGACAGCTGCTCCACTACAGTAAGACTTGGCCGGCTGGAATTATCCTCACTGTAGTGGCAGAACTTTGTGTTGCCACAGAAATCGGCACGAAAGTCTCATCTGCATCGAGCTGTTCGACTGGCACAGAAAGCTTTGTGTCACTTTCCGGGTTTGAAACCGCGCACCGGGCCACGTGACCTTGGCTCACTGCAGTGCCCTTTCTGTCCACAAACCACTGCACTACCTCGGTATGCCTGTAGGAGGAGTCATAGAGTAACACAAAAACCAAATCCGATGACACATGCGCCTTGTGTTTCTTAATTTTTGTCGTCGAGCTTCATGACATCTAGTGAGAAACCAATGAAACTGGCCTGGAAAACAAAAATTGTACCCTGTACATAAAAGACGCAATTTTTCCCAGAGTTTAAAACAGTACCCGGGTGTCCTAAACCTGTGTTTCAGCTTCGCACAATACCACAGGAAGAAATGTGAGGCATCAGTAAAAGCAGGGAAATGACAACTGACAATTCAACGTCGGATTAGTTTCATATTTAATCCTTTCAAATATTAGGATGCCCTTTGGTACAAGTTCAGCACTTCTGATGGGGTTTTCGGCCATCAGAAGAGGCCTTGCTAGCCTCAACCGCTAACCACTGATGGTTTTTATAGAACGTACACATCGATAATACTTGGCCTATTTCATTTGTGCCACAAAAGGAGATCAAGGTGATTTTGCCGCTAATAATATGTTGCACACGCACAGTGCGTTTGAGCTTCTAATGACAATGACCCAGAAACAACAACAACAACAACCGTACTGCAGCTATCATGAAAAAGTAACTTGGCCACACTGAACCGATAACTTTTTACAAGCTAGCGTAGTTATGTGGAAACGCTCCCGTGTTAGATTAGCTGTTACTCAGAGATGTGCATATTTAAAAGTAAATATACCATCGACATTAAAATTGTGGGCCTCTTTAGGTTGCAAAAAACAAAAAAAAAAGACAACCCAACAACAGCCCGAACTACTCCACATGTGCACAGTATGCCCTGCTGGTGTGTCTCATGTATTAAATTTTTTTGCTCAAAATATAAATGTTTAACCGAGCATTCTGGTCAGCGCTGTACGTGTTGTCACTGTCAAATCGATTGTGTTCTTTTTCTAAGAGGGAAAACGACCTTGAAAGTGCATTTAGATTGCGTTTGATTTGCGGCGTACATGTTCCTTTGAGTGCACTTCTTGGCTCATCATTTTTAAATGAATGAAATATTGTCTCGCGTTGAGCCACTCCGATAAAAATAGCTTAGGTATGTTGTCAAATCACCACAAAATGATATGAACAAGGATGATATGCCCAAGATGCCAGATGGTTTCCGTGAACTTATTTGCACATGTATTTAGGGTTTCTACAATAACTTTAAATCTGCGCAGTAGAACTTATATACTTTTTTTTCAACAACAAATATGCTGCTACACAACGATTATTTCATAAACAATCTTTTTTTTCAAGAATTTTATACTGACCATACAGTCATGGTGCAAGCATTTGTTGAAGTTGTTCGAATCGAAGCTAACAGGCCTCTCTTATTCGACGCACCCATTGATCCGTATTGATCCGCCGTTCAACCTCCCCCCCCCACCCCCCTGCTTTTCCACTATAGCGCACATCCAATGTAGCACAAACCCCAAATCTGACGGCGATTGTGTGCTGCTGCGCGTGACGACCGAATACTTCAGCTCGGCATGGAGAGAGGCAAGCGCTGACAGGGCTAACACATGTATGATTTATGCGGGGCAGAACATGAGAAACACATCAGAAAGACAGGCCTCACTTTGACATTGACTCACTGAAGCACTCATTTCAAAATACCTCATGAGCTCTGTTTGAGTGTTGGCAAGAGGAAGGCCTGCTTTGCCCCCTCGCTTGCTCGCTCTCTCTCGATCAGATGACTTGGGCTGCATGTCACATGGTTGCGTTCACATTAGACTAATGTGGAAAAACGCATTGTGTACGACGAACACACACGTTTTGCTCAAGCGCGGAAGGCGTGCAAAGCGCTTTGATGTGTTTAAATGCCAAGCTTAGTGTTTGACTTCAATTTGCATGCTTAATCAATACACATCATATACACTGTATGTATATAATGAGATTAATATTGTGAGTTATTCTTGATACAAACAACTCAATAATGAATAAAGTAGCACAAAAACAAAGCAGTTGAACCAAGGGCCTTCCAATCATTTGTAAAGCTGCTTGTAATAAGGCGAACGGGTTGCCTGGTGTTGCCATGGAAACCCGCATTGTCTGAGTTGGTAATCGAGGATAGTGTTGAACGACTTCTTTTTTCTTGTTTAGTGTTAAATATCTTCACGAATCAAAAGCATGTGGGCAAATTCATTTGACTTCTCAATGGTTGTTGACTGGACCACTGACGGTAGCTTGAAAGCAAATGTCACCTCACAAAACATGGGGAGGCTCACTGAAGGTAGGGAAACTGCACTACAAGCAGAAATTCAAAAATCTTAAACATTATTTGAATACATTAACATTCTACTGGTAAATGAGTTTTTGTGTATTTCAAGATTTTGAATGTATTTTTTTACAATTATTCACCATTTCTGATGCTTATTTTGCGCCTGTGTCTCGCTGAGTGCGGGAGCCTTTTCAAAACTCGTCGGACACTTATGTAATGACCGCAGAGCGGGTTGGGCCCACCTTACTGATGTGAGAGTGGGTGGAAATAGAAGCAGCGGAAGGTTTCTCACCCTCCTCTAACGGGGAGCCTTGACACTGCGGGGCCGTCCACTGAGGGGTGAGTTGAATGCAAAGTGTCTGCAGCAGTCACATCAAGGCAAGGAGGGTAATTATTGGCGCTTTGCTGGCCCCTGACACTGAATGCAGAGAAAGTATTATCTGTCTTGTTTGTAAATAACAGACCGCACCAGAAAATCGAAGGAGGATGTTACTCGGAAGGAGTCGAAGCATTCAGTTAGCCTTGCCGTTCTGGTACAACACTGCTGCCAAGAAAACCAGCAGCAGTCGCAGCAACGACGACGACACTAATGTGGTGCTTTCCAAACCTTTATTGAACCCGTGATATGAACGGCAAGGTGTACTGCCATACAATGGAAGCGCACTTAAAAATCATGCATGGCGCGCGATATGTTGTTCACATAGAGCAGATGAAATAATGAGCGAGGACCTTGGAAGTTTAAGTGAGAGGACTCACGTTGAAAGCACTGATGGTGGTCATTTGACTTTGGGACAAGTAGTGTGGGTTAGTTTCCAACTTAGGTGGGGGTGGGGGGTGTTAATATGAGAGGGAGTGGTCGTCTGAACCGCTAACCACTGATGGTTTTTATAGAACGTACACATCGATAATACTTGGCCTATTTCATTTGTGCCACAAAAGGAGATCAAGGTGATTTGACCGCTAACCACTGATGGTTTTATAGAACATACACATCGATAATACTTGGCCTGTTTCATTTGTGCCACAAAAGGAGATCAAGGTGATTTTGCCGCTAATAATATGTTGCACACGCACAGTGCGTTTGAGCTTCTAATGACAATGACCCAGAAACAACAACAACAACAACCGTACTGCAGCTATCATGAAAAAGTAACTTGGCCACACTGAACCGATAACTTTTTACAAGCTAGCGTAGTTATGTGGAAACGCTCCCGTGTTAGATTAGCTGTTACTCAGAGATGTGCATATTTAAAAGTAAATATACCATCGACATTAAAATTGTGGGCCTCTTTAGGTTGCAAAAAACAAAAAAAAA